CCCAATGCTAACCAGGCCAGCAGTTCACTCAAGATGGAAAAGAGAGATGTGGCACTACTCTCTGTCAGCACTGATGAGGTTTTCCTTCTCCACCTACTTGCTGTTTTATGTTCAGTATGTGTGAAACCTCACTGTCTCTGGGAACTATACCTTTATCAGACATGGCTTGAACTTGGCTCAAAAGCAACCAGGACTACACTGGCAGACACGTGGTGTGATTGAAGCAGTTCTACTCCCTAAGGCTCGTCTGCTGCTTTGAGTGCATCACTGTAATGTGCTGAGGTGCTCGGGTGGGCTGGTGTGAGGACAAAAGCAAGCCTGGAGTATTGGCCTAAGGTTCCCTTCTAGCTATCTGGTTCCTGGGGGGTTTAAATGACAAAATGCTGTCTCTTTCTGCAGACAGAGCCAAACCTGAACATGAGGATGGGAAGCTTTCCAGCACAGGCTGTCTGCAGTCTGTGCTCTGCACAGTGGGAGAAGAGCTCTCTTTGTATCTCAGTGCTAACAAAGTAAACATAATTGTTATTAATGGTGATTACTTGTAATGGAGCTCTGCGGAGCGCAGTGATACAAATGTTCCCATTATGATGGTTTCACATAAACAGTAACTGCTGGCAAGTCTCCTAATGTTTCTTTATTGACTTTCAGACTTCTGATGATGCACATATTGTCTTCGCAAACACAGTACAGAGTAATTTCTCCAATGTGCTTGCAAGAACCTTTATCAGCCAATAATCTTCTAGTTATATAGAGTAAGGGCCTAATGGTGAGAACAAGATCACTGTTGACATCAGGTAATTTTTTTCCTAACTGGTGCTATTGAACTGTTCTGCTTGAAGATTTCCAAAAAGAGCAGCCAAGTGATATTTCTGATCGAAGAGTGCCTTTCCAGCTGAGCCCATCTGGATCTACCTGTCCATCATCCATGGACAGCTGATGTTGTCCAGGGCAGACACAGGGTTTTCAGGCTTGGACTGACTCAGTCCCACATCTGCTGTCTGACTCTGCCCTGCACCTCCTGTCTGGCTTTGAGCAAATGGCTTCATCCTGCTGTGCATCATCTGCTGTAATGAGGAGCGAGGCTAACAGGGTTTGCTTTGGTCTGTTTCAGATTGTAAGATCTCTCAATTGCTTTATGCACTTCTGAGCTTACTTAGCGCGCTGAAGTTTTAACTTCCATTGTGGCCTCTATTTAGGCCATAGAAACCTACAAATTTTCTGTAACTCTTCCAGGATCCTTTAGATCAAAGTCTCACAGTCAGAAAGTTCTTGAATTGCTGCAGGGAGCATGATGAAAACCGGACAGACGTAGCTCCTCAGGGGAGGACAGACAAGTCCTAAGCCAGCCATAAAGCCTCCCTCCCCCACACCAGCGTCCTCATGAACTGAGTAGAATTTGGGTTTTAATTTATGGCTTTGCTGAATGGAGCTCTGGAACAAACTCAGTTTCATTTATCATCTGTCAAATGAAAACAACAGAAGCACAGTGAGTCTGGCACTATCACTGTTCAGAAAATATGCTGGTTCACGTGACTTTAAAAGCAGTAATTTTGTATATTTAAAGTAAGAGGCTCTTCAGCATCCCAAGAAACAAAATCAGAATTAAAATGTACAGTACTTAGGCATGGAACAAGAAATTTTATAGTTCAGACTACACCTCTTGTAGTCCATTCATAGGCTGTCTAAACCCTGAGGTCAATCTCAAACGATTACAATAAACACAGAAGATGGGAATTTCTGTATCTTATTGTTGGTATCAGAAGATCCAAAGTTTGAGAATATGTGGACTACTATAACCTTTTTGAGTCTGGAAGAGGACTTTTTTGTTAAAATCAATTTGGTATCTTCTGTGACTAATTCTTTTTTCAAATACTTTCGAGGTGAGGACTGGAAGAGAGGCAGCGGTGCCAAACAGCTGACACAGCCAGTGTATTTCACCATGAATTTAAGAGAGCTCTCACTGATATTTAACCAATATTTAAGGAAAGAGGATCAGACGTTACAATGAAGGAATAATGTCAGTAATATCCAAAACGAGTTGCAGAACTGAAATGAGTTGGTTTAACCTCTCTCCAAACTGAATTTGAAGGTAATATGTTATAAAGAACAGTCATATTTTAAAATGTGATTTTATTTATTTATTTATTTATTTATTTAGGTCCAGAATTTGAGACTGGGTTACAATAGTTCCCAGCTAAAGCAGGTAGGATATAAAACTTAGAACATGTTAAGTAAATACAAATTTGCACTGGGTAAGGGTGCATTTGTGTAAAATGTAGATTTGCACTCTGTATGTCTGCACAGAACACCAGGTTCTAAAAGGGGCTTGCAATTCATCTCTGCAAATTATTAAAATGAAGATTGGTACTAATTTAAATATATTGCCTTTTCACTGATGATAATTTGAGCGGAAACACCAAGCAATGTGTTTATCTGCCAGCAATGAATGGAACGTCAAGCAGCGGATGAGCAATAGTTGGTGCTGCAGACTGCAAGGGCAGGGGCTGTTGTTTGACTATCAGCTGCTCTTGGTCCAGGTTAAGATATTGCTGTCTCCCAGCTGTTCATCACTCATTCTTCTCCAAAACCTCCTCTGTGCTGGTTTACCAGCTCAGCTCAGACCTCTGGATTAAAAAAGAAGTAAAACGTTTTAAATAGCAGCAGGTCTTAATTTGGACCAGGGTGCAGAAGCAGGTTACTGACTGATGAGCCAAATAGGTAAACTAGCAGAAGCTGTTCCCCACGACAGATGTATTTATGTATGCCCTTTCCCTTAGGGCCTGTAACTGAATGCAAGTAATCCTTAATGGAACTTCTTGGTGGCTGCACTCAAATCATTTGCATTCCAGTAATTTTAGGATGGCCTGTCTTGCAATTTTATCATTAAACCTTTTAGCACACTGATCGTCACAGCTTCCAATTTTATTGGATGATTTTAAATGTGCAGAAAAATTAACATAGGTAGAGGCAGGACACAAAACAAAATAAGAAAAAAGAAAGAGATTTGAATGTTCCAGACAGTGAAAGACTTATTCTTAGAGGAAAATTTGTTTGAAATAGAGTTCCTCTTTCCTGCCCCTCTCCAGATATGTTGTATTTCATTAAGAATGCTAAGAAATAAAACCTAAAATCTAAAACATTCTGATTAAGGATGGCACCATGTTTCCTGGAGTTACTTTATGATCCTATTCTGTGTAGTTAAGATCTGCTGGCCAACAAAAATCTGGAAAAGAAGAAGTGTTTAAATAATAATGGGAAAATTTGAAGTAGTAATTTAAAGATGATGTGCAAATTGAGACTTTCTACAGTGAGAAGGTGTGAATGCATTTTTCTAAACAGCCTTCTGAATAAGAAGTCACTTTATGAATAAAAAATCAGCAAAATCTCACTCACTGCTACTTTCCTCAATCTTATCTGTTTCCTTTAGTTCTAATTTTGATTATTTTGTGGGATGAACAAATATCAGGTTTAGTCACCAAATCCTATTAGTTAAATCTCTTCAATGTCTCATAGAATCAGTTCCACAGTAAAAGTTCTGTGGCATGTGGATCCTATTGTGCCATACCTTTTGTTTTATATAGTTGCCAACAAGTTGTCAAGTATGAAACACTTTATTAATGAATAGAGAAGGAGTGGAAGCAGTGTTTAGGATCCAAATGTCCAGATTTGCTGGTGTCTCTTACAACACTCTTCTACACAGCAAAGTTCAGATGTGTCACAATAGTGCAGCTGTCTGCAAACCCATAAGCTTTTCTTTGCATGTGATGTGAGGACAAAGATGAAATTATGTTACTGCTGACCTTATAAGTTGAGAGCACATTCCTCACATAGGAGTTTCAGAATCCAATGTTTGTCACTGAATTGGTGTGTAGTCCTCAACAAGTCATTCAACCACAAAGCCTAGCATCCCCATTTTCAAGAATAATAATTCCTACTGCAAGCCTAGGCTGTGACTCAGCAGAAATGCAAACAAGGAGCACTAGCAATGATTTTTGTTTTAATCTTAGGTTTATAGTTACGTATCAGATTATTTAACCATGATCAAACAGGCAAAAGTCCCACTGAAATCTATTTGTGTTTTGTTTACATTATTTGGACTGATACTTAATATTATTTTTAGAGCAGCATGTCCACAGAATGCCATGCATAGAAAAAAAGATCTGTGCTGATGGTAGGTTACATCTTAAATTGTACATCTGTAGTCCCAAAGGAAAACAAACAGCAAAGAATTTGTCTTTCTCTGATTGGACAGTGTAATGTGGTACCAGAAAGCACAGACTAGTACTTGCTTGTTGAGTTCCAACTAGGTGACATTTACAAGCATTCAGGTAATGAGTTATGGGCTCTTGAAATAGGAGTTTTCTAATAGGAGCAATATAATATTCCACCCAGAAGAATGGATAGCTTTAAAGGTGTTTATGCTGTGGAATCCTTTTCATTATGGTAACAGAGATAAGATTTATTAGTCAAACACATGAAAGGAATATTCTGTAGATTTGAACATAAAATGCTATACGATGCTTTCAGTGTTTGTGAGATATTATGACACAAAATACAATACATATTTTCACTGGTTTCTGGTGGTAGAAGTTTAGACATCAATGGCAACGCTGACAGCAAGGTTTTATGAGCCAGTTTGTTCTTTTAAAGAGAAATATGAAATGCCAGCATGCTGGGTCTTAAAGTCACAAGATTGTAAATGTACACAACAAGAAAAATCTGACAAAAACAATTCTAGGGATTGCTTCTCATTTTGGATATAAATGTCGTTTATTGCTTCAGACTTTGTTGTGTAAGCTGTTCACTCAACAGCATGGACTTCCTTTGAAAAGACAAAGCACAAAACCTTCAGTAACATGTGATCTTATTACATCACTGTTTAGTTTATCTTGTGATTCAAGAACTTGGCAATTCAATGTTACCAGGTTTTAATGGAATACATTCAAGGGCATAAATAAGTCACTTATTATTGCTTCTGACTTACTTATTTTTCCTGATAGTCTCTAGCCTAATCCAATCTAGCACCGGGGTAAAGAAGGATGCTATGGCACCATAGCAAGGAGGGCATACTCCATAGTGACCACTACTAAGGTAAGACTCGAAGATTCCTCAGCTTTTTCAACAGGATTTATCTGAAGACTCATTCTTGATGTCATCACAGCGAGCTATCAAGTAGCAGTTATCTTAAAGGGATTTGAATATCCTTTCAATTGTATTAGTATAAATAAATGATAGCTGTGTTGCATGTACAAATGAGTAGAATTTACAGGAAAGAAAAAAAAAACAAAAAATTTAATGCATGGTCAACCTTGCTTCCTTTTCAAAATATGCAGCCTGATGTGGTCAACATTTGTAGCTGCCTCCATTCTTTCTTTGTGGAGTAAAGCAGATTTTTGCCATGCTAATTTTTTTGTTTTGTTTTGGAACAAAGTGACATTGAGGTCTTAGTCTAATGTATGAGCACTGTCCTTCTTTGGTCTTACAAAGTTGTCAGTGCTTGCAATATCTTAGGATCAGAAGATGCAGTATCTCACTTACCAGAAGGAAAATGGCCTGCTGTAGGAAATCTTACAGCTATAAATGAAGTCCTATGCCCAATGATTCATTCTGTAGACCTCATTTGACTCTGCGCAATGTCTTTAACTGGACAGATCCAAACCTCTAGAATTTGTGTTTATGAAGGAGGAGGGATAGCTAAAGCCCTAGTAACTCTCCTGCACAGCTGTGACTGGAGGGAATCATGGGCTGAGAGCCCAACCAATGAAGCAAAGTTTTATTTTCGTCTCTGCAGCTGACCTGGATGTCCAGTCCTGGATATGTTGCAAGGGTGTGAAAGGGGTAGAATTTCTGAATCCTGATATGTTTTATTGTGGATAGTGAAAGTTCTTCCTTAATCCTTGGTCTTGTTTTTGAAATTCACTCTTTTTGAGAACTGGATATCTCTGTACTAGGTCAATGCCACGGACATCAAGGTCTTTCCCCAGATGACTGAGCGCTTTGGGAATTCCCTACCCTGATCCAAGCAAGATGCTAAGAGATTCACTGGCATTGCTCAGTGGAGTTCCCCGGCATCATTCTCAAGAACTGGATCACTATGTATGAGGCTTTGTTCTTGGAAAAAGGGAGTGTGCAGGATGCCAAATTTGATCTGTGATTACAGGCAGAAACATTTAATATGAATAATTGGTCTATCTTCTATTTGCAGAGAGTACTGGTTGAGCCAGCTTGTTCAGAAAGAAAGAGTGGAAAGAGGGAAATTACTATTGAAAGCCAAATTTTCAAATAGCTTAAAAATACACCATACATTGTTTTTCTGTAAACTGCTAAATCTGAATATTCATTGTAAAACTGCTCTCCTGGTTACACTCTCTTCCAAGAAGAATTATTCTTTCCAGTACCATCTTGACAGCCCTGCAGCCATGCAGTCTCTCTTTGCAGTGCCAAAATTGCAGCAGAACAGTTCCAGTTTTATCATGCAGAGCAAAGCATGTACTATTCATATTCTGTAGTAGCCACAGTAGTTGTCCCTGTGTCTGCTGTTCACCAAAACTTAATCCATTGCTGGGAATTTTCACTGCATGTAGAAAGTTGATCCACATGAGAGCAAGCGCTGACAAAAACAAACAAACAAACAAAAAAACACCTATATTCTTTATAATATATATTTATAAATATGTAAGTATATATATATGCTAAAGTATTTTCTAGTATGTCTTTTAGCACCCTAATATTTTATAATCTAATACGTACCAGTAACCTTTCCCATACAGAATGTGACCAGTAAATGTACTGACATTGCTGGTAAGAGCTCTGAAATGTAACTGCAGTTCAAGTTTCAGACAAACTGGAAGAGTTTGTAAAAACCCCATGGTGTGAAACAAAAATTTTCAGGCTTAAACACTATAAATTTCTTTCACTGTTCTTCTTGCTGAGTGTATCCACCTATATGACTAAAAGCATATGTGATTGGGAGGTAATTCTCAGACACAATGCTTGTATCTTTTTGTGAATGGTGCTGAGTTCTTACAAATCTTTTGATTTGGAGTGGCAGGAAATGAACTATGGCATAGCTATACCCATGCAGGCTGCTGCAGGCTGTCTGCAGCTCCTTGTCTTGGTCAGCGGGCTCAGGCCACTGCTGTCCTCAAATGACTTTGAACCAGCCTGTCTACAAAAACAAAGTTAGCGTTCCACTGCAAGTCCTCTCAGTAGCAGATGCTCCTGCTTTGGCTTCAGGACAAGTTGTGTCTTGTATCTCTGGTGTACATGATGTATTGGTTTGCATTCATAGGTGTTAGAGCTCTTTCTCAAAAGAAAATAACTCCTCTATAGGGCCTCACAGAGCTCCATGGTAACCTTCTGGTGACTTTTTGTTTCTAAACAAATGTTTTTGTATATGAATTTTATTTTATTTTTTTAAAGAAACGTATACAAGTCTGGTAATTTGCAATTTCTTTTACTAGCATTGTACTAACCATGGTGGAATGACCAGAAATAAAAGACACACAGTTCACATTGTACCTTGTAGTTCCATTAAGCAGACAGTGGGAAGCAATTTGAAGTAAGTGATTTGTAAAGCAGTTCATTTAAAACATAATTTTTTAGACAGCTTGGTGAAATTCACCAGTAAGTTTTTAAAGAAAAAAAACAAACAAACAACAGCAACAAAAATCCAACCTGACAAAGCTTTGAAGATTGATTCTTACCACAGTTTGAGTATATTATAGTTTAAATCTACTGCAATCCCAAAACTTGAATGTATTTGTGCACATGCTGTGAAAGGGCATGATTTCTTTATCTGTGTACTCTTATGGATTAGCGCGTACAGGCACAACCCAGCCTGATGTTCCTGTGTGACTAATGAGTACAGCTTCCTGACCAGTCTCAAAGACTGGGAGCTACCATGCCTTCCTGTGCATAAGCCATGATCACAACTGAAGCCACAAGTTTGTGACGTGTTTGATTGACAGCTTACTGATAGACCAACCAGCTCTAATTGCATTCCAGTTACTCCTGACTGCTCCTTTTCAATCTATCTATCACGATGCTGCCAAAGACAGAAATAAGCTACAGAACTGCACAACCAGCAGCAGTCTGTATTTGATATTCTGACCCGGTACTCCCAAGTTGAATCACCTGATGTAGCACTTGATCCTTAGCTCCTTTCCCCCTCAGATAAACACTGCAGCGGTAATTCCTGCTGCAGGAATGTTCTTTCATAAACGCTTTTGAAGTGAGGGAACCTGATCTCTTTTAAGATAATATATTATTGGTTAGATTTCATTGGAAGAGGATCCTCCATAAACCTTGCCTATTGTTTTCTCTCCAGACTAAAAGTTCAGTCAACCGAAACCTTAGTCCTTAGGGGAGCACTGATGGTACTTCTAATCGTAAGTGGAATATTTAGAAAGCTTTTCTTTCATCTAATAAAACCATCCCCTTCTCTGCCAGCTCAGCTGACTATGCCACTTTCACAAGTTGGAAATAGCCTCATGATCTGCTGATTTCTCTGTCATGTCTTCCAGTATTTGGTCTAAATTATCACAAGAAAATCTAACTAAAGCTTATTTTGCTGAAGTCTATGGTTTTTACTTCCATATAAAGTTGAAGGTGTCAGAACTAATGTTTTTGATGTTTCAATATTTACTTTAGTCCTCCCATGTAGTTCACTAAGACTAGCTGAAATATAAATGCTATAATTTATTACAGCTATAGTGTGTTGTTTTTGTTTTTGCTTTTTTAACCTATGAGAAAGGTACCTAACTATCACCTGAGAGTTTTCAATTTGGTTTTGATGAAAAGAGTTTCGATGCAATATTATTTTTTTTCGCTCTGTGAAAAAGCATTGATCTTTTCTGTCTTGCTACTCCATAGGTCTATGGCCAACAAAGGGAGTGCAGTTGGACTGATTAAAACTAGATTGACTTGAAGGTATTTATATCCCAGTACCTGCACTTCAGTGCATTCCCCCAGAACATATGCAGTACCCACCCACCACAACTTCTATGGTTGTAACCAGGTAGGCGGGCAATTATGCTGAAATTGAGACATCTGACCTGATGCAAATGTGGACTATCCCATCATAAAAACCTTCCCATACTGAAGATAGAATGATGCAAAAACAATCCTAAGCACCAAAATTCAAAAGAGCTGTTGTAACTCATTCTCTTACATTCTGTATAGCAGGACTTCTAAAAGCTTAAACATGGCTACTATCAAAAAACTTTGCAAAGGAGAATCTGACTCCTGCATCATTTCAAATTTATAGGTTATGCCTTTTTTAATGACAGAAGAGGTGCCTTACTGAAGGGAAAGGCTTTTAGAGGAGATGTATTACCATAGAGATATTAAGTAAAGTTTCAAGTCTCCTTATGGCCCTAAGCTGAAAATGAACTCGAGAGGTGTAAAAAAACTTCTGCTGAGGTCTCTGTTGTTTGGAAATATTTTGCTCTCAAAGCTGTGCAGTGTAAATTGCTTATGAGGCTTTGTGGGCAGATCTCAGCTGTTTATTTTGCACACTGCTAAATATGAACATTCAAGCATTAATAAATCTACTTGCAAATGAGCTTCGGAAACATTTGTAATTTTTTTCTTCTATATCTCCATGTAAAAAGAATTTCCAGACACAAACAAATGTCAGAGAAAAACAACTGTGATTTGTTAGGATGTGAAACTAGAAAGTGCCTAAATTTTTTGCCTTTATTAGAAAGCGTATTGGTAAACAGATTTCACCTTTTATGACCTCACGAAGAAATCTGCTTTATTTCATGCACAGTTAGCAGCTTACAGGAGATAGTCTGCACATCTCACTGACTGCTTCGGCATTTGATACAGGTTTTGCTTCAGACTTGGGAAGACAAGTGAATTACACTGCCACAAGAATCAATTTACACTTCACTCTTCTGACAACTTCAGTGTCAGTGTCATGTACAGAACAATACCAGACCAGATACAGATGCTCATTTTCCATTTATGAGCAACCAGAATGAAGTTTCATTCATTTTGGACTTAAGCCAGTAGAAAAGAGCCTCTACAGTTGTTCACTGACAGTATTCTCCAAGACTTTTCGGCTTGTAGGGCAATGGTACTAAGCCAAACGGTGAGATTCCAACTTGCTGGATCACACTGAATGGCAGAATAGGCTAGCTCAGGGCCTGCTCACGCCTATGCACTAAAGCATTGCAGAAGCAGCAGACTCTTCCCTGAATAGACCAAATGACCAGACGAGATTCAGCTGAGTCATGAGGGAAGTCTAAACCACAGAAGTTCATTTTCTTCATTCAAAGGAGACAAGTAAAACAAAAAGGCTCCATTTCCATCATTGAAGCGTGGTTGCTACGCACAGTCCATCAGAAACAAAAGCTCTACAACGCCCTATGTAATTAATACTATTGCAGCAGGTCGATCTGTCAGTCACAGGCTATACTCCACACTGTGGGGAGAAGCAACAACAAAGCAAACTAAATCTGTCCCACAGAAGACATTACCAATAAACGGCAGCAGTTGCGAAAACCAGTGAGTGCTTACATGGATTCTGCCCAGCAATTTGTGTAATTGCCTGCTGCGCAGATGAAATTATTTTGCTTGGCTTCTGTGAGTCACGGAGCTGGTCCCTACCATTTTCTGGAGCTCACTTGGCCAGATGATTATGTCCTGATCCTATAATCAAACCTATAAAGGAAATATATGGCCTGTTCTCAGGATCGAGGAAGATCAAGGCTGTAGTATAAGGGTGGGGCAAACCTGAGAATGCTTATTAAAGGAAGAGCTGGCAATGATGCCTTCTGTTGAGGTCATCCTAGGTTTTCTTATGTTCCAAACATTAACACAGTGGCTTCTTTTACATCTATCTTTCTTTCATGCTCTCTTATTTTTAGAGTAAGTAGAGGTAAAAAGTTCTAAGGATTCTAAATGTTTAAACTTGCAACTTCCATGTCTTTTACTTGCTCCCACACTGAAGTCACAGAATCACAGGATCATAGAATGGCCTGGGTTGAAAAGGACCAGGATGATCATCTAGTTTCAACCCCCCTATGTGCAGGGTCACCAACCACCAGACCAGCTGCCCAGAGCCACATCCAGCCTGGCCTTGAATGCCTGCAGGGATGGGGCATCCACAAGTCAATAGACTGGTACCTTGAATCTGTATTTCCCGTGACTATAAAGCATGCTTACGTTACTGTGCTCCTTCAAGTGCTTGGCTAAAACGTAGCTGCTCTCCTTGCAGCAGAAGGCGTGCTGTATGCACTCGAAGCAGGACGTGTTCATCCTGACAAAAAAAACCGCGGCCTAGGCAGGAGTTGGCTGCGGCTGTCTTGCAGTTGGCCGGGAGCCAGGCCAGGTTTCTAGGAAAAAAAAAAGGAAAAAAAAAAACCAACCCAAAACGTTTTGTTCAGTGGGGCTCCCCGAACCCGCACTCCACTGCTGCCACCGCCGCGCATGCGCCTTGGGTGTGCGTCAGTGGGGGGATGGGGGAGAGTGCAGGGAAAGCACGCGACATCCGGGCATTTCGCCCTGCTCCGTGGCCACGCCCCTCCATAGCCGGGAAGGAGCCGTCTCTTCGTCTCGCGCGCGCGTGCCCGCCCGCCTCGCGCGCGCGGCCGTTGGGGGCGCGGCCGGCAGCGGGGCCGCGCGTGAGCCCGGCACTCGGCGAGATCCCAGCGGGGAAAGGGCGAGGCGCGGCGACGCGGCCCTCCTCCTCCGCTCCCTGCTGCCTGCCGAGCGACGGCGACGGGTGAGCTGAGGCTATCAGCGGCCGAGGCCTGCGTTCTCAGCGGGGCCGCGTCCCTTTGCCGGCCGGCTGGCCGGCGGCGGCCAGCCGGCAGCCCAGGGGTAAACAAGCGGCGGCGGGGCGGGAGGGGTGCCGGGGTCCCTGACAGCGCCCGGCCGACGTGGGGGCGGTGCCGATCGCGGCCTCCCTTAGGCGGCCCGGGGGCTCGGGGTGCTCTTCGCTCGTGTCCCCTCCTCCCCGCCCCGTGCCGGTGGGAACGGGCCTTGTAGGGTGCCCGCCCCGCCCCCTCCACTCGGCCCTGCCGCGGGCCTGCTGCCGCCCGGAGCGCAGCGAACACTGCCGCCTGCACCGCCACCGGCACGGACGAGGCAGGGCCGGGCTGCCCGGTGAGGTCTGCGGGTGTGAGAGGGGAAGAGCAGGAGTAATCCAGAGGTATTGCCGAAAACCCTCTGTAAAATCCCCCCCAGGTTCCCAGCTGCCGTGCTCGGATTATGCAAGAGGTTGCGCTTTCTCAGAATTTTTGCTTCTCTCCGTTCCTTTTGTTAACGGGTTGTAGGCCTGTGCTGGAAGCTTCTGTCTGCCATGTAAAGGCGAGGAAGGCTGCGTAGCTGCACTCGTGTGACCCCGCAGGTCGGTGATCGGTCGCGCGTCGGGCTGTGACAGGGGCTGGTTTGAGGCACGCACACTGAAACGGTGCAGCAGCCGCGCTTTCACAAGTTGCGGTGCTGCCGCTGTTTGAAATCCCTAGGGAGGGATCCCGTGGGCCGGAGAGAGGGCTTTCTTTTGTTCTGTAAAGTTCTGCGCAGGTTTGGCCGAGGAGCTTTTCCTAATCCTTGCTTCCCTTTTGCTGATTGTGTTGTTATTGTGCCAGAATCAGAGTGTGTGAGTGTGCTGATCCTAAACTGGGCCTGTACTGTTGTAACTGCAGCATCACTTTGCTTCTGCTGCTGCTTAAGGAAGGACATGTCCCTCTGCTTTCTCTTTTTTTTTCTTTTCTTTCTTTCCTGAAGAACACTTTTGGTACTCAAATCCTTTCCCTGTGCAGCTGCTGCCATCTGATGCATGTCATACACCTTGTGCTGTGATTTGGAAGCTTAAGGCTCATGTATCCCCAGTGATGTGTGGTGATGAGAATGTTAGTGATGCTTTTCTGTGGTCTTTCTCTCAACACTTCTCTTCTACAAGTGCAAAAAATATTGTTAAGCTCGTTGGTTGCCAAGCAAAGTAAGCAAAGAGATACACTGGCAACTTTAGTCTGTCTTCTGCTCTGTTTGCCTCTAAACGGCTTTGAGTATTTTTTCAATACTGGTCTGGCTGCACTTGGAAAAGAAATAGATTCACAATGAACTGAAGATGTATTGCAAACTGAGACTTTTTGCGGGACCTCTGTCTCATTTTTTCCTCAAGTTGGAAGGTGTTAGAGAATAGGAGAGTCCTAGCAGAATGGGCAAAGTCTAAGCAAAAGCAGTGTCTTTGCTGTGCTTCTTGGATGTTCTTTCTCTTTGTAACTAAATTATTGGTTTACTCAGTTAACTTTGTAATTCTCCTCTTACTTTGATGATAGAAGTTTAATGAGTGATATGTCTAATTAGCAGTACCTGGTTGGAAAGTTTTTTGGCAAGATTTCTGAACATTCATAGGCAACCCATTTTTATTTTTTTTTTTTTAACCTATGTCCTGAAGGGCTTTTCCCAGTACTTATGTTAAGCACGTGGCTGTGACAGCATAGGGATGTCAGTTTGTGAGTGCTCTTCTGCAGCTGCTGGGGATTTCAGCATTGTAACAAACATGTTACAATTCAATTGTATTCAATGCATTCAATTGAACTGAAAGAAAACCAACACATCAACATAATTTCCTTCTTATTGATGAACACAGTCCTTTGGTGAGTTCTATCTCAAATGAAGCAAATGCTGTTTGCCTCTGGCAATGGGATCCAGTGGTACAGGGATGAGCATAGGGAATCGCATATGTAAT